TTAGGGCTTTGGGTTTAGGGTTTAGGGTTTAGGGTTTAGGGCTTTGGGCCTTGCCTAGACCTTGAATACTCCCGTTTAGGGTTTAGGGCTTATAGGGTTTAGGGTTTAGGGTTTAGGGTGTAGGATGTTTAGGGTGAAGGGTTTATAAAACTTATAGTCGGATCCCTATTCTGTGCTAGGGTAAGTATAGTCAGTCTTTACATGCCTTCAACTCAGGGATTTTGGAAGGTCTGGGTGAGCCCTGCCAGGCCCCCCCAGTGCCATTTAGGGTAGAAGAGAGGGTAATGGGGGTCTAGGTAAACCCTCAAACCAAAAAACCCTCACCTTTAAACCCTAGGGGCCCTAAACCCAGAACTTAAAACCCCAAACAACCTACCTTTCTAGTGACCTTTATACGGAAATCATATTGCCTAAAGGATCATGGGACTTGGTAAGTAGGGCTATAACTAAGGTAACTATACTTATAACCCCAATTAGGGGACTTATAACCTTATGCTTACTAAGTCCCATGATCCTCCAAGTGAAGGAACCCCTTGGGTCCTCATTTTGAACTTCCCAAACCTACTTTTGTGTGGGGTACCTGTACATTCTGTACGAGGGTTTACGACAAGAACTTACAAAAAAGCAGGTTCTGGTCGTTTAAGGAACCCTTAATCCCTAAAACTTGACCTGACCCCCAAAAGCCATAAGCTCATATCCGACACCTCGCGCACACGCGGCTGCGCGCAGCAGGATGACACTCCCGGGTCACCCTGTCAAAGCCTCAAATCCATAAACTGTATGTATTTGACTAGTGAGGCCTGAAGACTAGCAGATGCGATGTTCATGATGTCTGCGTGGAAACCGTCGCAGCGGCTGCTCATACTGCGGTGTTTGCAGGGGTTCTTCTGTGAAAATCTCGGCAGCTGATGCTCATGATGCGGTGCGTGCAGCTTAGAATAGCGGTCCCAAAGGCTCCATGTACCTTTATAGTAGACACTTAGGCCTTAAAGTACCTATATAGTGATCCCTTTAAGGCCTAAGTACCTACTATAAAGGTAGATGGAGCCGTAGGGGCTTTTACAATGAGGAAACCGCTGCAGCTGCTATCCACGTGAAAAAAACGCCGCGGCTGATGCTAATGGTGCGGTGCTTGCGGGGGCTCTTGGGTGGACACCGTTGCAGCTGATGCTCATGATGCTCTCCTTTCTGGGGTAAGTGCATTCAACCCGTCGCGGCTAATGCTCATAATGCGATGTCCGCAGAGATTCTCGTGTGGGAACTGTCGGAGCTGATGCTCATGAAGCTCTGCTTTGCGCATTGCTGGTGTGGAAGCCTTTCGCTGCTGATGCTCATGATGCGGTGTTTGCAGAAGTTCCTGTGTGGAAACTGTCGCTGCTGATGCTCATGATGCTGTCCCTGCAGGGTCAGGTGCGTGGGAACTTTCGCGGGTGATGCTTATGATGCTCCGTTTTCCGCATTGCTAAACCCTAAACCCAAAACCCCGAACCGGAAATCTTGCGCTGCTGATGCTCATGATGCGGGGTGTGCCTGGGTTCTCGGCTAGAAGCTGTTGCAGCGACGCTCATGATGCATGCTGACGCTCACAATGCCGTGGTTGCATGGGTTCATAAGCCCAGGAAAGTGTACACTTTCAGTTTTCTTGTAGGTAATATTATCCCAAAAAGTGTAAAGTGTATCCACTCAGCTACTGAGATGCCGTGGTTGTATGGGCTCTTGTGGTGTGGACACCGTCGCAGCCGGTGCTCATGACGGGGTCTTTGCGGGTGCTATGAGGGTTTCATGAAAGCCGTACAAAGGTTTTTCTCACAACTTCATACGAATGTGACACGCTTCATAAGGATTTATGAATCAGCAGGATCCTGAACGAAGGCCCTCGGAGAAAGGACGCTTGATTAATCACGCGGCACCCTAACCACTCAACCCCCAAGACCCTTGCAACAACCCTACCAAGACTTCTTAAGCGTTTGTAAACCGCTGTGAACCCCGTTTCATTACACGGCCCGAACCTGAACCGTAAACCATAAGACTAAAAACCGCTTAAAACTCCTTCCTAACGGGCGTACCTTGGCAAAGCCTGACAATCTCTGACAGACCGTATAATACCCTATGCTTACTTAAACTTAAACTATGAAAGTTTTTCAGACTTATTAACAAACGTATTGGGAGTTAGGATTAGGGGGACCAGTGGGGATATACATCCTCTCAGTAAGGTCCCGTTTAAGAGAGCCACAAGTAGGGTTATTAAAGGGGGTCCCCTTTAAGGGGTGGCCCCCATACTACCTACCCTAAACCCTAAACCCTAAACCCTAAACCGACCTAGGACCTATGAAACAACAAGCTGCCAGTCGTGTCCTCGACAGAAGCGATCAGCTCGGTGTCCAGCCCGCCGCTGACAAGCTGAAGGACGCGCCTCTACGGATGAGGACGGTTTAGGGTTTAGGGTTTGGGGTTCAGGGTTTAGCGTTTTAAGGGCCTTAGGGTTTAGGGTTTAGCGTTTAGGGGCTTTGTGTTTAGGGTTTGGTTTAGGGGCTTAGGATTTAAGGTACGAAGTGTAGGGTCTTTGTGTCCGGCTTTGTCTAACTACGGCTTGGGGCTTAGGCTTAGAGGCTTGGGGTTTGTAGATCGCGAATGTACACTTTGTGTTTTTCGGTACTCTAAACCCTCACCCCGTAAACCCTAAACTGTGCTGCTCTGGATTGGGGTATGTAGTCTTGGAGACGAGCAGTCTTCGGGATGTTGGCAGGTTCAAGGTTTTTCGGTGCTGAGCTGAATGTTCGCAACTCAGGTTCATATGGGTGGTTGTCAAAATTATGGTCCCTTTTTGGATCCTTATTATAATACGGCACCTATTATTTAGGGTACCCCAAAAGGGACCATAATTTTGACAGCCACCCATATGGGTTAAGGGTTTGGGCTTTAGAGGCCTAGGGTTTGGCTGTTTAAGTCCTCTAGATTGAGACTATGGTTTATTGGAAGTGACCATCGCAGTGAACGTGCACCAATAGGCCATACCAATGCATCTCAGGTCACGTATGCCTGATGTCCAAACTGCACATCGACATCTAATTCACAAGCCGAAGAACACAAAGCCTAGAGAAAACTAACCACAACAACCCCATGATGAACGGTAGTGTGTAGCAACCCACAGATGTAAATAGCCCGCATGCTTCTGCAGGGTTGTCGTTTTCGATGTCTTGCAATAAAAAAACATGTTTGTATGAACAGATCCATTGAGGCACCGTCTTGCCCTAAACCCGAAGCTCTATACACTTTCTTGAAGCGATTGTTCGCACTATTTTCCTGAAAAACACGACCCTCACCTCAACCTTCACCACTAAAGCCTAAACTGGGCTTCAAAGTTCGTGGGATTTAGGAACTGGGGCGATGCAAAAAGCTTGTAACTGTACTATTCAATTTCTTGCAATACCGATTCTAAGTACTCCTAAACCCTAAACCCTAAACCCTAAACCCTAAACCCTAAACCTTAAACCCTTACAAACCCTTAAACCAATTCAAACCCCAGGTCCCACCATCCTCCAAGTGAACCCTTCCTGTGACCCCCAAACCCTACAAAATAGTAGGTTATGACCCCTTTGATAGAAGGTAGAACCCCGAAAACGGTAGGTTTTGGGACCCCCAACCCTAAACCCTAAACCCTAAACCCTAAACCCTAAACCCTAAACCCCTAAACCCTAAACCCTAAACCCCCCAGGTTGAAGGCGCCTGCTGACCGCCTGCTTCTCCTCTGCGTCTTTGCCAAAGAAGCTGAACTCCACCTGGGTGGTTTTCTAAATTAGGGCCCCTTTTGGGGTACTTTTTTTTATAACCCTAAACCCTAAACCCTAAACCCCAAACCCTAAACCCTAAACCCTACTTTTCTTGGGATCCAAAAAGGATCCCTAATTTAGAGAACTACCCACCTCGGCACAGGCGGCTCCTCCCAAAGCCCCAGACACCCATGGTTTAGGGTTTAGAGTTTGGAGTTTGGGGTTT